TTTGAGCTGTGGTGCTGGAGAAGAGTATTGAATGTACCATGGACTGCCAAGAAAACAAACAGATTCATCCTAGAGAGGGTTAAACCAGGCTATTCCTTGGAGGAAAAGTTTCCGGGGCTTCGTCTGACATACTTTGTACATGTTGCAAGGAGAGACAGGTCTTTGGAGAGGGACATCATGGTGGGTAGAGTGGAGGGACAGCGTCGGAGGGGAAGACCCTCTATGAGGTGCATTGATTCAGTGACTGGGGTAGTTGGATGGGTGTGTCAGAAGCAATGCGATTGGCACAGGATAGAGCAGGGTTTAGGGCTGTTGTACATAGGGTCGCTATGAGTCTCAAACGACTTGACGGCACATAACAACAACAACAACAAGAACCATGGACTGCTAGGAAAACAAACAGATTCATCCTGGAAAGGCTTAAACCAGGCAGCTCCCTAGAGGCAAGGATTCTGAGGCTTTGTCTGACATACTTTGGACATGTTGTAAGGAGGGACTGGTCCTTGGAGAGGGATCCATGCTTGGTAGGTTGGAGGGACAGTGCAGGAGGGGAAGGCCCTCTATGAGGTGGATTGATTCAGTGACTGGGGTAATCGGGATCGGTGTATCAGATACAGTTTGATTGGCACAGGACAGAGTAGAGTTTATCGCTCTTGTACACAGGGTCGCTATGAGTCACAAGCGACTGAAGGCACATAACAACAACAACAACAATGGTTTCAATTACTGTGGTGGCTAATATTATCTGTCAACCTGATACAGTAAGTTACTATGTAATATGATCCTTTCAGCCATGTTGTTAGGTGCCATCTCATAGCTATCCTTACAAACAACAAATCTGAATATTGTCCTATCCTGCACCATCCTCACCATTTCTTATATGCTCCAGTCCATTGTTGTTTTTGTTTTTGCTTTTTAATTTTTTCATTTTTACACATTTTCTTTCTCTCCTCTCTTTCCCTTCCCCTAGCCCACTCCATAATGTACCCCTTGTTCTACATTGTTTTAATATGTATACTGTTTAATCATATATTTCTTTCAGACAGCTCTTCCCCTCACTGGTTCTATTGCAGTGTTCATTATCTATCCACTCTTTTCCCATTCTCTCTTTAATGCCCCTATGTCTGTCCTATTTTATAATGGCAGTGTTATAGAGTATTTGTCCTTTTGTGACTGAGATATTTCACTCAACATAATATCCTCCAGGATCCCTCATACTGTGTAATGTTTTATGAGTTTATTATTTTTCAATGCTGCATAACATTGCATTGTGTGAATGCACCATAATTTTTCCATCCAGTTATTTATTGATGGGCCTTGAGTTGCTGCCATCTCTTTGCTGATGGTGCAGGACAGGGTAGGGTTAAGCTCCATTGTCAGAGGTTTGCTATGAGTATGCAACTCGATGGTACCAAACAACAACAGTATAAAGATACTCTGGTATCCTGGTCCATAAAAAGTTGTTCTGTTAATCCAAAGGCTGCATTTCTCTGAAGATTGAATTCCTCAAGTGCTTTGTGGGAGAAAGATGAGTAAACTCATATGCAATTTGCGGCTGGAAAATTTCTGGAGGGTCAGTTCTGAATCGTGGCATGGGTAGTGGATTTTGAGTTGAACACTGTGCTTAAGAACAGTAGAGATTGTGAGGATGGCACATGGTGGTACATGGTGTCTCTGTAAATGTGATTAAGCTGGAAGACACCTAAAAGAACTACTTTATTTTAAAGTGGGTGTTTGGACAATGTGATAGATGCTTGCTTTCTTTCCAGATCGCTTATTGAGGAGGAAGTGGCGCTGCGGTTAAAGCACTGATTAACCAAGGCGCTGGGAGAGCAGTGTTTGAAACCCACTGGCTACTTCTTGAGAGAAAATAAGCACGTCTTCTTGTGTAAAAATGTATAGCCTGGAAATCCGATAGACAGTTCTACTTTCTCCTTCAAGGGCTGTATCTAAATCCACTCCATGACAGGAAGCTGTACTTGGTTTGGGTTTGGAATAGAGAAAAAGGGAGGGATGCCAGGGGAACTCAGAGGCCTGCCTCCGCCTCCTCCCCACCTCTGTTATAGTTATGTACCGATTCATAGCGGACCCTCCAGCGAGTATTCAGAAGCATATAATACGGGTGAGGAGACTGCCCATCCTTCTCCATCTGGCAGCTGGTGGACTTGAACCTCACAGCTGTAGCATTTTCCCCACGGCTGTCTCCGCCC